TTGAAACTGGGAGCCAGAAGCAAGGAGCACGGAGGCGTGGCTTCAGTTTAACTCTGTCTCGAGGCCAATTGGACATCATAATACCCATTCCTGGCTAATCCTGCAAATTCCGGAAAATGACAGTTGGCCTTACCTGAACTGTTATTTTAAGAGGTTTGCAGGATTAGCCAGGTTCCCGCCCTAGCATTGGTCCAAGGGGTTGGGAACTTCAGGGGGTAGATGTGTTCCCTTATGACTTTTTTTCAGGTGTTTTTCAGTGGACGTGACTCATTGAAACTGGGAGCCAGAAGCAAAGAGCACAGAGGCGTGGCTTTAATTTAACTCTATCTCGAGGCCTATTGAACATCATAATACCCATTCCTGGCTAATCCTACCAACCTCCTAAAATTATATTTCAGGTAAGACCAACTGTCATTTCACGCAAGCTTCAGACTGGGGTATCTTTTTCTTTACATCCCATGTCTAGCATATTTTGCAGAATTAACTGTGATTGATATGTTCATGAACAAATAAATGGTTTGGTTTTTTTCTTGAGTATTGGATTTGTAGCGGTCATACCATGTTTCTCAGATTATGCTAACTCATGGATTGTGGAACAAACTGTAGTGACCTAGCTCACATTTAGTCTAAGCTATAGAACCATAGCATATTATTAACGACAACAGATGATTTGTAAAACTATGCAAATCATATTTTGATTCAGTGTGATGTGCTGTACCCAGTTTGTGCAGACTCTTATTTTGACTACTGTATTATTGATCTGATAGTACAGCAGTCCCCAATCTTTCTGGCTCCCTGGACCAGTGTGGAGGGGAGAGGATGGTTGCACCCGTGCAATCTAGCTCCCGTGAATGCACAAATGAAGCTTCCCGTGTTTGTCCACTGTGTGACTCAGTTTTCAATGGGCCATGGACAGACACCAGTCCTCAACCTGAGAACTGTGGACCCCTATGATAGTAGATTAAGATTAGAGGCTGAGAAAAAAAGACTATTTTATTGAACTGCCTACAGATTTTAGATGCAAGGAAAAAGGGTCCTGAGGAGAGGATATAAAGGTAAAAAAAGGCAGTGTGAGTTTCACAGATTTGTCCTGACAAAATAGAAAGATGTCTGAGGGGGCATTGGTGCTCTCTGAGCTTGGTTGTTTTGTTGCAGACGTTTCATAACCCAAACTAGGTAATATCATCAGTGCTAGCCATGGTATTGTCTAGTTTGGATAATGAATTATCTGAAAGAAAACAACCAAGCTCAGAGAGCAACAAGGACCCCTCATTTCAACCACGAGTTACAAATATTCTCCTTTATTAGAAAGTTGTCCGCTCACTTTTCTGAACATTTCTAGAAACTCTCAATAGGAATTTCTTGTCAGATATAGAGAATAAGAAGCTAAAAAATTAGTAAATTCTACAGAAAAGGAAAAGCAACTTCAAATAGTTTGTAGGGAGCCCAGATGGCATAGTGGTTAGAATGCAATATTGCAGGCTAACTCTGCCCACAGTCAGGAGTTAGATCCTGACCATCTTGAGCTTGACTGAGCCTTCCATCTTTCTGAGGTCAGTAAAATGAGGGCACAGATTGTTGGGGGTAATATGCTGACATTTGTAAATCACTCAGTGCTGTAAAGTACTATGAAGCAGTATGTAAGTCTAAGTGCTATTGCTAGTGCTACTGATCATAGTCATATGCTACCCTATGAGCAGGCCTAACATGAGCCTGAATTTCAGTTGATGAGATTCAGAAGCATGTGAAAGAAATAATCTGCTCCTGTTCTATTTGTGGATTTCACATCTGACAGTTTGGAAAGTAGGAATGGTCAAGAATGGCTTTCTCCATCTTAAAAAAGCAAAATCTCTAAGGGTTGATGAATCGTTGTTTTTTCTCTTTTCTTTCCTAGAAGATGATGTTTGTGTATTCAAGTGTTCTGTATCAAAGGAGACAGAATGCAGCCGAGTGGGAAAACAGTCCTTCATTATCACATTGGGATGCAATAGTGTCCTTATACAATTTGCAACTCCAAGTGGTATGTACCAGCAATTTTATTTGAAGTTTTGGGAAACAGTAATATTGCTCTGGCAAATAATTCTATGCCCTGCCAACACATAGCATTTACAGAAAGGATAACATCTGTCCTGTTAAATAATTCAGTCTGACATTCTCTCCTATGACATCATCTGCTGTTTGTTTTCCTTAATAGAAATTTTGGACCGGCAAGTGGCAAAGTTGTGCAATGTTTAGCCCAATTCTGTCTAATATTTTTAAAAAACCTTTGATACTTATGCTGTATTTAGTGGACAGGTTGGATAGTTGTTGGAACATTTGGAATATTTGGAAAAATTAAAATATAAGAGAAAGGATATTTGTGAGAAAACCAAAAGACAAAATTGTCTTTATCATGCTAAAATTGTAACATTTTTATGGACAGTTATGTTCTTAATTTAACTTAAACATGAATATACAATTTTTGATGCATGTACTGTAATATTATTTAGCTATATCTGTTATATAAAAATGTACATTCTATTTTAGTATCCAAAAATTAACTAAATATACATGTAGCATTAGAGAAGAAATTGCAAGCAATTCTGCAATTTGTAAGCATGAGCTAGTATTGAAAACTTTAAATAATGAAAATTTGATTTACAGAAAAGAGGCACAGTTTAAAGATGCTCCTTAATTGCCATTGGATTCAGTTGATTATTGTGGCCTGAACCACATTGGCATAGATGTGACTAAGGTGCCAGCTGTGATCCTTGCAGCATTGATTTAGACATAGTAATAGTTATCTATACCTTAGCTACATCCTTGTGCTTAGCTACTGTAACATGATATATGCTAGGTACCCCTTGAGAAGCATATAAGAATTGCAGTTGGGCCAAAATATATTCCTTAAACAATGGAAATTATAGGAATGGTATGATTCCTGTTTGGAAAAATCTCTCCTCCTTGCTGATTCCTTCCTGGGCATAATTGATGTGATGATGTTGACTTTTAAAACCCCACACAGTTTAGGGTTTGAGTGTCTCCAGGGATAACATGTTTTACAATGAATATGCCTGTTCATGGAAATCAGCAAGAGAGGATTTTTTTGGAAAAGGTGCCCTGCTGATAGTGGCTTGTTTATCTCATCTCTTGTCTTTGACTATGGATGCTCTCTCTGGAGAGGAAAATTTTGTGAAATGGAGAACATATCACTTCCACATTAACTGATTTTTAATATGTTGATCTGAATGCTACATTTAAATTTAGCATTTTTATTTGAAATGTTCTAACTGCCTTGAGTAAACCAAAAAAAGAAAACAAGGCATAAATCCAGTAAATAAATGAAGTGATTTAATCTTAGAAATAAGTATAGGTAGTCCTCAACATTCAACCACAATTGAGCCCAAAATTTTTGTTGTTAAGTGAGACATTTAAGTGAATTTTGGCCTATTTTTACAACTTTTCTTGCCACAGTTGTTAAGTGAATCACTGCAGTTGATAAGTTAGAAACCTGGTTGTTAAGTGAATTTGGCTTCCCCACTGACTTTGCTTGTCAGAAGGTTGCAAAAGATGATCACATGACCCTGGGAGATAGCAAAGGATCAATTGCCAAGCATTCTGAATTCTGATCACATGGTCATAGGGATGCTGCAAAAGCCGTAACTATGAAAAACAGTCATAAGTCAGGTTTTTAGTGCTGTTGTAACTTTGAATGGTCACTAAACAAACTGTTGTAAGTCAAGGACTATCTGTATCACATAACCAGATTAAATGTATCTAGAGAAAAATCCTGGGCAAATGTTCCCATAATAATTAGGAACCACCAGGTATTGGATTACATCTCTAACCAAGTTTTTTGTACCCTTTTTGGATGTAATTGGAACAATGTCATTTAAAATCTGAAAAGCATTTTTGGCTTTATCTTTAGACTTCTGCTCATTTTATAACATTTTGAAAAATTGTCGAGGCCACAACATGGAGCAGTCAGTATTCAGTGAGCGCACAGAGGAATCATCTGCTGTGCAGTACTTCCAGGTAGGTGATTTCAATATTTGTTTTTTTCTGGTGGAGGCGAGGGAGGAATTGCGTCAGTTCCTTGGGTCCACTGCTGAGGATCTGTTGCTTGCATGTTTTTGAAAACAAACTGTAGAGGGCTAGCTAATGAAGAAAATGTGGAGGACTTTTTCTGCCAGAAAACCATGTAGATTCTTGATGTGCTTAAAATGCAGAAAAATTACTAATACACAGCTCAGGGATCTGAACAGAAACTACAGATTCTTGCGCCAGGGTTTCAGACATGGGTCCAAGATTACCAGGTCTTGGGTATGCAGAATAGAATAGAATAGAATAGAATAGAATAGAATGAGCTAGAAGGGGCCTTGGAGGTTTTCTAGTCCAGCCCCCTGCTCAAGAGGAGAACCTATATCAATTCAGCTAAGTGACTGTCTAGTCTCTTCTTAAAAATATCCAGCGATGGAGCACCCACGATTTCTGAAGGCAAGCTGTTCCACTGGCTAATTGTCCTCACTGTTAGGCAATTCCTCCTTCATTCTAGGTTGCTTCTCTCTTTGATTAGTTTCAACCATTGTTTCTTGTCCTGTCCTCTGGTGCTTTGGAGAATAATTTGACCCCCTCTTCTTTGTGGCAACCCCTCAAATACTGGAATACTGCTATCATGTTACCCTTAATTCTTCTTTCCTTTAGATTAGTCTCGTGATGGCAAACCTATGGCACGTGTGCCCAAAGTGGCACACGGAGCCATGTCACCTGGCATGTGCAGCTGCGCTCATTCCTCTTCCGGGTTTCTGGTGTGATCACCGCGATGATCAGCTGGTTTTCATGGGCAGGGTCGGAAACTGAAAGAGCTGGTCTTCTGTTTTATAGTGTGAGCATGTGCACCGGCCAGCTGTTCATCGCACATGCACGAACCAGAAACTGGAAGCTCATTTTCCAGCATGCGCATGCCCCTTGGGTTGCAGCCCAGATGAGTGTGTGTGCTCCCTTTTTCGTTACTTGGTGCCGAAAAGGTTCACCATCACTGGACCAGCCAAACCCAAATCCTGCAGTTCTTCTTCGTATGTTTTAGTCTCCAAGCCTTTAATGGACCTACTTGTTTCCTTGACTTTTTTCTTGTTATTAATATGTTGAAATAACTTTTTAAAAATTATCTTTGATTTTTGTTGCAAGTCTTTGTCCATTCTGAGCCTTTGCTTTCCTGACTTCATGTTTGCATGTTCTGGCTATTTGCTGATAATCAGCCTTAGTTATTATATCCCTCTTTCCATTTTTTGTATTTGTCCTTTTTGTCCAGTCTGTCAAAAAGATCTTTGTGCAGCCATGCTGGTTTCTTCTTGAATTTCTTGGGTTTTTTCCCCAGTGGTATTGTGCTGGACTGGGCTTTTATGACCGCATTTTTCAGAGTTTCCTATGCTTCTTGAGTTGTTTTCCCCTTTAGGATTTTCATCCATGGAATCTTCCCTAGGCTCTCTCTGAGTTTGTTAAAATCAGCTGTTTTAAAGTTTAAGGCACTAGTTGGATTATTTTCTATTGCTTGTGTTTGCATTACATTGAACTCCGGTATGACATATGTCACTTTCACTCAAGATTCTGGCAACTTCAATTTCCTCTATCACTTCTTCTCTGTTAGTAGGAATTAGGTTCAGTATAGCTTTTCTTCTAGTTCCCTCCTTTACCTTTTGGATGACAAAGTTGTTGGCTAGGTTGGTTAGGAATCTATTTGATCTTCCACTGCAAAGTTTGTCTTCCAGTTGATATCTGGATAGTTAAAGTCTCCCATTAAGACTGTGGTATACTTCCTACATACATTTGTTAACTGGTTGGCAGAGCTCATCTATTTCTTCTGATTGGTTGGGTGGCCTGTAATATATACCTTTTATATTGACCCATATACATTCTGAAGGGATTTTATATTTGATCATGTGCATTTCTGTAGATATTTAGTGATCTCTTACATATCTATCATATCAAAAATGGTAATTAGAATTTTCTAAAATTGTACCATTTCTTTTTGTGAGTGAGCGTGTTGGTTTTAGCAGAGACTATTTGTTTCCTCTTTCAGTTTTATGGATATTTATCCCAACAGCAAAATATGATGCAGGATTATGTCCGAACAGGCACATATCAGAGAGCAATCCTGCAGAACCATAGCGATTTCAAAGATAAGGTATGGCTAAAGTTTAATAATGCCTTAAGTGTAACCAATAAGATTCCTTCTGAATATTGCATAGTTGCTAAAGGGTAAGACTGAATTTACATATTGTAAATATATATTCAAATATTGTATCTAAGTCACGTTACTCTTTGCTCAGAATATTTTGGTTACTCTATCTGGAAATCATGAAACTTTGAAGAGTTTGAAAAAAGAATGTGGTCTGATTTAATAATGCAGGGATAGTACAATAAAGTTTCTCTCAAATAAGGTACAGTAGAAAAGGAAAATCTTGATGGTGGCCTGCAGCTAATGCTGTGTGAGGTAGGGTACACAACTTGGGATTTCTAATAAACCATTGCTATAAATTGAATTACTGGTAGTGCTGGTAGCCAGAGAGCAGGCATTATTGGCTTCCATTTTTTCATCAACTACACTGTTTTCTAATGCCCTAATTACAAATATTTTGAATTGCTACAGATCTCCTAATCTGGTGCCCTCCAGATTCATTGGATATTAATTCTCAAGAGGTTGTGCATGAGCATTCAAGTCGTATTTTCTTCAAAGCAGGTTTTTTGCTTTGGATCCAAATAGCTGCATATCTTTAATAAATACACTAATACAATAAACAAATTTAGAACTCTGAGCATTGGAACCGGAGTTTGGATATAAGATCCACTCTTCTAAAAGTTGTAGCTGTCAGTAAGGATGGCTTAGTTTTACCTTACATATTTACTATATTTTATAGAAAAGGTTTTACTGATATTTAGTTTTTGTGATTTTATTGATCTAATTTCCCCCCCAGATTGTATTAGATGTCGGCTGTGGTTCTGGCATCCTGTCATTTTTTGCAGCCCAAGCTGGAGCAAGAAAAATTTATGCAGTGGAAGCAAGCACGATGGCTCAACATGCAGAGGTTAGTGTGAGACACCCACATGGCTGCTTCATTCAGTGACCACAATCCCAGCTCTCCTGTTTTGGTTGTTAAATTATCATGCTAAGAGTATCTCAAGGTAGGAGAGGTCTTGGGAGAACTTGCTCCCACTGGCACATGGAAACTTTCCACAGATTGAAAAGCCTTGGCTGGCTAGGCCCAACTGCATGTAGATCTCCTTTCTCACTCCCAGAAGGCTTCAGCCAGCTAGGCCTACTGGCGCACAAAAATGTGCTGTGTGCTGGCTGGGCTCAGTGACATATGGCCTCCTCCTTCTCCCCTCCCAGTTTTGAGAAACCTGACCTACTCCCCCCGCCCCCCAGCCACTACTGCTCTTCTCTCTCCCTCACTACGCCTGGGTCCACTCCCTTTTTCTTTTCCTGCAGCTGCTGACAAGTGCACTCAGCTGATGAGAGGCTCAGGTAGAAAGCTAGAGAATGCAAACTTCCTGAAGGCTAGAGAGGCAATCCTTCTCAAGAGCGACCAGGAATAGGAATGTCGACTTCAACCATACTAATATGATTGGGGCTTCTTTGAATTTACCCGTGAAACTGCATTTGATAACATGCCTGGGGAAGAAAGGAACATACAAGAACTACTTATAGCAAATGTTTTATTTTAAATGTAGTAGCCTTACCTGGCTGGCAAGCAGCAGACTTTTCTTATGTCCAAACTGGATTTCAATTATAAATAGAGCTTTGAAGTGAATTACTATACTCCTGTATCTTTCTTATTATCAGCTATCTGAAAAACAAATTCTCGAAAATATCTGTGGAATCATTGCTATTTTTTCCCCTCTTTCTATCCAGGTTTTAGTGAAGAGTAATAATCTTACTGATCGAATTGTTGTCATTCCTGGGAAGGTAGAGGAAATCTCACTTCCAGAACAGGTGGACATCATTATTTCTGAGCCAATGGGCTACATGCTTTTCAACGAACGAATGCTGGAGAGTTACCTGCATGCCAAGAAGTATTTAAAACCTAGTGGTAAGTAACTTCTTTTTTTTTCTTCTGTTCAGTTGTGTTCGATTCTTGGAGACTATCTGGACAAGTCCCTGCAGTTTTTTTGGCAATGTTTTTCAGAAATGGTTTGCCGTTGTCTTTTTCCTAGGGCTGGGAGAATATGACTAGGCCAAGGTCACCCAATGATAACAAAATAGAGGAAGGAGGAAGAGGAGCTCTCTTCTGGCCTATTAGCTCAGGATGGTGTTGGGAATTCTGATACTAGGCATTGTTCAATTAGTTAACATAGGTTAGTAACCATAAATCTATTACACAGTGTTTGGCTGCCTCTTTGGGAAATGGGAATCTCTTCTTATATGTTTCTCTGCATTCTGGGCACTCAATATCATTATTGAAACTGGTCTGGTTTCTTTGCTTTGTTCTGGATAGTGTCTGGATCAGAGCGCATAAGACTAGTCATAAGTCAGGAATTTGGATATATGCTGCTACTTGGTTACATGTTGGTTCCTCCAACAATAGCGTTTATCAAATTAGCATTATATATGACAGTATACTGGTTATATTCTGATCATTCACTAACTACACTCCTGATATGTTACTACAAATAATTATCAATTTACAACAAAAATTGGGACTAGAATTTCAAATAACTCATGACAGTCATAGGTTGGAGTATCCACTTACAATTGCTTTTATGGAGGTCATTAAGCAAATAATTAAAAAAAAACATGCAGTCATAAGTCTGAATACATTCTTCCCAAATGGGCATCTTTTGCCAGAAACTGGCAATTTTTTTTAGCAAATTGCAGTTACCAGACGTGGGATTAATGCAGTCACTTGTAAATGTGAGCCATTTGCTAAATGCCTGAATTTGGCCATGTGACATTGAGGGGACAGGTGGTGTGATATTGTCCGAAGCCACCATAAGTTGTTAAATGACCATCTGTAAGTCAAGGACTGCTTATATTGACCCTTTTTAAAATAGTGAGTCATATCTGGTGTTTTATTAAACAGTTGAGTTTTAGTCATGCATTTGTTCACTGGTATGGTACAATAAAGTAGCAATAGCTCTTAGAATGGAGAATTTATAGCTGAAATAGCCAAAATAGCTCATTGGAAGAGCACTAGTCTGAAGATCTAAATGTTTTCACTTAGAGATGCAGTTCAGTGCAGTAGTTAAAGTAACAGTCTAGAAAAGAAGAGACCAGGAGTTCTAGTCCCATCTTAGGCACAAAGCTACTTGATTGCCGTTGGACCAGCCAGTTTTTTTCAGCCCTAGGATGAACAGATTAACAGAGTTGGAAGGGACCTTATAGGCCCATGATGGCGAGCCTATGGCCCGTGTGCCACAGGTGGCATGCGGAGCCATATTTTCCAGTTGGCCCGTTGGGCCTGTTTTTCATCCCCTCCATGCTCCGGTGGCTTTCCTGAAGCCTGGGCAGGGCGAAAAACGGCCCAACAGGCCAACCGGAAGTTCATCCCTGAACTTCTGGTTGGCCCATTGAGCCTCTTTTTTGCCCTCCCCAGGCTCCGGAGGCTTTCCTGAAACCTAGGGAGGGCAAAAACGGTTCCACCACAAAACCGCGCTCAACTAAACCGCGTCCGACTAAACCGCATAGCTGACGTCATCTACAGAGCGACAACTTAACACCTAAACCTAACCCACCTAACCCTAAACCTAACCCTAAACCTAACCCTAAACCTAACCCTAACTCTTAACCTAACCCTAAACCTAACCCTAAACCTAACCCTTACCTTAAGTTGAATCGGCTTGTTTTCAAAGCGCTATTTAAAGCGCCCTTCTTTTTCTGCGCTGGCTGTTGTCGCCCTGTTGATGATATCAGCGACGCGGTTTAATCGGGCGCGGTTTAGTCGAGCGCGGTTTTGACGGGTCACGGTTTCAAATCCCTATAACTGTTTGCAATAAAGCATTATAAAAGGGAAAAGGCCTGCGGATCAGTGCAAGTAAGGTTGAAAGTTAATTTTTTGTGCAGGCACACAAAGAAACATTGTGAGGAGTAGATCCAAGAGAAACAGGATTGGTAGCTATAATGTAAGGTAACGAACACTCATGAATTTATTTTTCCACTGAATAGTATGATTGATAGGACATCTGTTC